AGGATATTTAAGAAAAGACATTTTTTCGCAATATTTTAAAGCTACTTTTTTTATATTCTTACATGTAAAAGGACAGATCTCTTAAACAAAACTGATAAATTGAAAGAAACCTTAAAGAAGGAATTTCAAACATGCAAATGTTTTCTTTAAATTTTTTTATGTATACCATTTGTAGTATATGGCGACCTATCGAATGGTCATCAAAGGGTATCAACTTTCTGTATAATGTATTTAATTATATTATATTACTCTTGGAATACTTTACGATGTTAATTCAATTTCTGGATTTTGTATTTGTTATCGACAATATCGATGATTTCATTGCTAATTCTATATGGTTCGCGAGTTTTGTTGCTATGGTATGTAAAGCGACTGTCGTTGTAATACGTCGCAATGCAATCATTAGCTTGATACAAGTATTGTTGAAGGGTCCATGTAAACTTCAAGATGAGGACGAAATAGCAATACAAACAAAATTTGAAAATTTTGTCAGGTAGGTATCGCACATTATGAGGATAATCTTAAGGTAAAGCTTTAATGAAATTGCATAGATAATATCTACGCAATAATTTAATTCATGTACAATTGATACGTATCATTTCTTCTTTCGAATTCAATTAGCATTGATAAATATTACTACTTTAAAATTTTCTGCGAGCCTTTTACTGATTATTGTTGATTTTACAATTCAATGCGATCTTTATCCATTTAATATTTTAATACTGTTATTTTTTGCATTTACTTAACCTAATTAATACTTCTTGTAACGTAAATTCTTAAATATTATTTTACAAAGGTATACTTCCATATTTTGCTTCTAATACACGCGCTTATTTCAATTATTCTATGCTCTAAAATTACTTTAATTGTAAGAATAGTGGCGCAACAGACGCATGTGAAATATATACGTTTTACACAATGTAATGAAATACATGTTTTGATTTCACACACAAGCAGTACTTATTTTGGTTCCAGCATAGAGTAAGAAAAAAGAATTTCTGATCAGTTTATGTCATATGTAATATATTGTGCATACGGTTGATAAATATATTATCATGTACACTAGTCGGCATTCATACTGACAGTTATTGTTAGAAAATATCTGAATATTTTATACATTGCCCTTATCGTTATATTATGCAAGGTAAAATAAGACTTTATGAGAAATACGGTCTTCTATTTAATACTGATAATCATTGAAAATATCTTATTCAATGGGAATATGACAACGTGCGTTATCGTAAGAAGTGACATCCCTCGATAGTTACAAGTAGAAAAACTTTCACAATTATAGTATTCACTTAGAAGCGG